GAAGTATATCTGATTTATTTTTTTTCCTTTTTACTTCTTTCTGAGACAATGGCTCAGATGTCTCTGCTCAGCTGTCTTGTCCTCTCCCCTCATTTTTAACTGTGTGCCATGGCAGTACCGCACTTCCAGCTATCAAACTCTGTATTGTTTCCTACTGGCTGCTTTATTGGATGCTTTAGGGTTTATAGTCTTTGTCTTTAACTTATTACAATATACCTTCAAATGTTATTACATCCCTTTATGTATAAGAACCTTAAAATAATATACTTCAATTTATTCCTTCTCAGCCTTTGTCCTATTGTTTTCATACATTTTGCTATAGATGGCATAAACCCCCAACACACTGTTATTAGGTTTGTTGTAAACTGTTATCTACTAGTTACAGTAGTCTCCTCTTATCCACGGGGAATACTTTCCAAGACCCCCAGTGGATGGTTCCAAACCCTATATAGACCATGTTTTTCTCTACCCACTCATACTCATGATAAAGGTTAATATATAAATTGGGCACATTAAGAGATTAACAACAATAACTAATAATAAAATAGAACAATTGCAACAGTATACTGTGATAAAAGTTTATGAATGTGGTGTCTGTCTTTCTCTGTTTCACTATCTTACTGTACTGTACTCACCCTTCTTTTTCTTGTAGTGATGTGAGGTGGCGTGACGGCTGTGTGAGAGGTGAAGTGAGGCAAATGATGGAGGCATCTGCTTTGGGTGATTCTGGATCATTAAGCCATGACAATATTGGTGGTTGGATGTCAGGAACAAATGCTGTTGATGGTTGGGGATCCTTGATAGTCGAAGATTTTTTTGTCAAAAGCTTTGGAAGAACATGGTAATCAGAAGTTGTTGTCTTTTTTTTTGACTCATCAAAGTGTCGCTACAGAGGTTGTAATCCTTTGGTGATCATATGGGTGACTTTAATGTTGTGTTCCGTCTGGTGATCATGTTCTATAATTTTGTTCTTTAAAGTGTGTGCAATTTGAAGCACTTTGGTAAATGTCAGTAATATCCACATTGCTGGTTCTGCTTTAGTTTCTTCTTCTTCCTTTGTCGATGACTCAACAAGTTTTCCCAATTCCTCATTTGTTAACACTTCTCAATGCCTTCTTCTACTTGATCGAGCATATTGGTAAATCCTTCTCCACCAACTTGTCTTGCTACATGAATAATTTTCCTAAATTCTCCATTGATCTTCAGGAAGCTTTTTAAATGATTTGTGACTTCCCTTGATAGGTTCTTCCAGCAGGCATTTATGGTTTCTGGTTTTAATTCATCCATTGCAGCCTTAATGAATGTTATTGCATCAATAGTGAATTATTTCTGGCACTGCATTATATCCAGATTATGGTCTGCGTTAATTACTGATTGAATGTGAGCAAATACAAGGTGGGGTATATGTGGCCTTTGCAAACCATATGATGTCCTGGTCAAGGCACTGAAGCAGTGAGGTTGTATTTGGAGGTAAAAAGGCAACCTTGACATTTTCATTTTCATAGCAAACAGATTCAGGATGACCAGGTACATTCTTTGTTAAATTCCAACGCTTTCTCTTCCAAGTATTTTGGGATGAAGAATTGGCAGAACCTTTCCATAATAAACAAGATGACCATCACCTGCATTTTCTGGTTATGTTGCCAGAACATGGGCAGATAATTTTTGTTTTTGTTTTTGAGAGAGAGCACATTGGTTCTTTGCTCTGTGTAATACACCCAGCTTTATCATATGCCTTACAGTTTTGCTACGTGGTGCCAGAGGTGGTCTGTTCTTCCACGTTTTATGCCTTGGTACCTCCTTTGCACTTTAGGAGCCCAGTTTTATTGTAGTTGAAGACTTGCTTTGGATGGTATCCTTTCTCCTTAATTAGCTTCAACTTGGCTGGAAATGTGGCAGCAGCTTCTTCATTAGCAGACATGGCCTCTCCAGTAATTTTATATTTTTCAGTCCAAACCTATTCCTCAATCTGTGTAACCGTCTCTTACTTGTAGTAAATGGCTTGGTGTCATTCGTTTCATGGGATCCCTTGCTGAAGCCTTCATATAGGCTTAATGCTTTTTAGTATAAACACATTGCTGTCAGTTGTAACATGTTTTCTGTTCATGTCTTCCTCCCATAAATGTAATGCCTTTTCTGTCTTAGCTAAGTTCTTATTACTCACTTCTGCAGTTTGAGGTGCAGTAGCAAAACTAGCATGAATTTTCTTTTTCTTTCTTCACAATTTCATAGACGGAAGATTCATTCTTACTGTAAATCTTAGCAACTTCAACATTTGATATTTTTCTTTGTTGAGAACTTTCAACAAAGTCCTTTATCACTTAAAGGAAGCACTTTACAGTCTCTCTTTGGCATATCTGAATTGCTAGCATCACTATACTTGTGCTTTGGGACCATTATTAAGTAAAGTCAGGGTTATTTGAATACAAGCACTGTGATACTGTGACAGTTGATCTGATAACTAAGATGGCTACTAAGTGACTAACAGGCAGGGAGCATCTACAGCGTGGATCTGCTGGAAAAAGGATCACATCCGGGGCAGGATGGAGAGAAACAGTGTAGGATGGTGTGAGATTTCGTCATGTTACCCAGAAAAATTTGCCATTTAAAACTTATAAATTATTTGTTTCTGGAATTTTCCATTTAATATTTTTGAACTACGGTTGACCATGGGTAACTAAAACCATGGAAAGCCAAACTACATATAAGGAGGGGGGACTTCTGTATTGTTGGGAAAGACAGTCTTGTGCATGTAGTCTTTCAGCTCCTCTCTTGGCATATAAAAATGGTCCTTGGTCCTAGAATACTTCCTTACCAAGAGACAAAGAGCCCATGCAGCCTGTGTCAGGTATATTGTCTTGTGTGGGAATGTCTTTCCGTTTTAGTCTCAATGTGTGTTCCTTTGTGTTGCTTAAGCATGTGTGTAAATGGTCCTCAAGCATACCCCCAATCTTCAGTATTTCAAACTCCGTGGGGAGGGTTCTTGGTCTTTCTTCTGTGGTATCAGAGGAGTACCCATAGCCAATTGTCCTGGGGCTGCCAGGAGGACTGGCTAGCCATGGGGGACTGATGCACACTGCTGAAGCTGATCTTGCTCTGTCTCCTCTATGCGGGTAAAGCCTTGTTCCATCTGTTGCTTGACTGCATTGTGTTTTCCCTGGCAACTCTGATACTAAGAAACAATGGGAAGAAGTCTTTAGAGTCTTCCCTTAGGATTCGTAACCAGTGCCTGGTGTTCTTAATAGTTATAATTTCTGGTGCTCTTCTTTAATTTCAGATTTCCATCTGGTATCATTTTCCTTCTGCTTGAAGAATTCTTTATTATTTTTTTTGTTGTACAGGGCTGCTGTTGATGTGTTCTTTCAACTCTTTGATTTCTAAAAAAATCCGCGCCCCCACCCCCTTTTTTTTGCCTTCATGTTTCAAAGATATTTTTTTCTGGAGAAAGAATTCTGGTTGACCTTTTTCTTCCAGTTTTAAAGATGGTGCTCCTTTGTTTTCTGGCTTGCATTGTTTCTGATCAGAAGTCTACTCTCCTCCTTAGTCTTGTATATAATCTGCTTTTCTCTTCTGTCTGCTTTTAAGATTTTCTATTTATTGCTGCTTTAAATAATTTGATTGTTATGTAACTTAGGGTAGTTTTTTTTGTATTGTTCTGGATTTTATGGTATTTAATTTTCATCAAATTTGAAAAAAATTTCAGCCGTTATTTCTTCCAGTATTTACTCTCTTCCCCCACCTCTCTTCTCCATCATAAACCCCAATTACCAAGCATACTGGTCCACTTGAAGTTGTCTCACAACTTACTGATGATCTGTTCATTATTTTTTAGTCTTTTATCCCTCTCATTATTTTAGTGTTTATAGATTACCAATATATATTAATTTTTCCTGAATAGGAAACATCTCCAAAAGCTCATATTTAAGCTAAAAAATTATTTTGAGGTGTTAACAATTCTCATTAAAATTCATTATTATACTTTTTTCTATATTTTCTGAGGGGTTATTATCCTTTATGTTTAATTTATGAGAATTTTGCTACTACAGTGAATTTTGTATCCATTGGAAATTGTAGTCTAAAATGGGAAATGACCACTTAATGCCTTAATAGGTCCCTAAAATTTTCAATAATCTACTTGTTAAATTTTTTCTCTACTTTCTCATATAAAATAATCTGATACTACATAGCAGTTCAAGAATACTTTAAAATGCATAGTTGATTCTGCTATAATATTTTCTTTGAAATGCAAATTTATTCCAACACAATTAAATAATTTGCATACAATTTGAATTTCACAGGTGCTTATGCACAGTTTCATCTGCAAAAATACAAGGTGAAGGCAGAAAGTAGCTTTCTCCAGCTACCTTGGTTCACCAAGTGTGCAGTGTGCCGCAGCAGTCCGTATCTACTGCTGCAAGTTTTCATTCATTTTCAGATGCCCCACTTCCACTGCACAGCAGCTCACAAGTTGCAACCTATTCAGTGCTCACTTCCACAGACAAGCTTCAGATCTTTGTCAAGATAAAAGGCTATATTTCCCATAGTATTTATGTATTCTTAATCATTTAACTGTGTAAAGCTGTAGTACTGTTTTTATTAGGTTTCTATTGTTTTAAAGATACGATTGGCAATGTTTTTGCATGACGTGCACCTAACCCATTTTCCCCATACATCAGTAGGTTTTGTTGCACGTTTTTGCATAGTAAGTTGATTTCAGGAATACATATGCCACATTATAATAGAACTGACTGTAATTTATTATAAGAATTTTAATGTTTTAATATATATTAGCTTATATACAACTTACATTCAATAAAGCATTATTACAAACAGTCCAGATGTATCATTAATTTTGTTTTGCTTCTATTCAGTTTTTCTTGAAACATTGTGTAGTCACTCTCAAAGTAAAATGGAAATCTTATTAATGTATATTATCATATATTTCCCTATAATTTATTATTTCCTTAACCATTTATTTCTGGCTTACAAAAATTATGCAGAAAACAAAGCCTGCACATGATCAAGCAAAGAAAACTGCCAAAACGGAGAAGAAAAAAGACAAAGGAAAATCTGAGGATTCAGAAGGGTAAGACAAAGATGCACGTTAATCCTTCTCTTTCTTGTTAATTTATATTGTTATTTAGACAAACAATTTAAGATCGAATAAACATAACTTAATAGATTTTAGAAACATACAGTTAGTAAATATATAGTTTTATAAGCAGACCAGGATATGATTGTGGGAAAAAGCTAAAAAGGGAAGAAGAAAAAACTAAAAGTTAATTGGAGGAGGATGATGAACCAAAAGATATTCAGGAATAGGTAAATAGAATTAAATCTTGAAATAATTACGAAGAAAAAGGTTTTACATTGTTTTCTCAATGATCTAGCTAATGCTTCATTATCAGAAGGTCATTAAATATGAAATGTCCAGTTTTGAATCAAAAGTGTAGTTTATTATATCTGAAACAAGAAGCAGTACAGTTAATCAAAGTATGCTCCTAAACTAGCAACATAGTTTTGCCAACTTAATGGTAGCTTGTTTATGTAACCAGCGAAGAAGCCTGGAGAGCAAGTGGCGATGAAATTGTGAAAGTTATTTTCCATAGCTTGCTGAGAATTGAATATGTTTCCTTGCAAGAAGTGGTCCAAAGCCTGGAGGAAGTGGTAGTCAGTTGGTGCAAGGTCTGGTGAATACAGTGGATGATAAGACTTTCCAAGTCCAGCTTCTGTAGTTTGAGCAGCATTGTTTGTGTGACATGTGGTCAAGGGTTGTCTTGCAAGAGGATCGGCCTGTCTCTATTGACCAATCTCGGCTGCTTAATCTCAAGCATCCTCATCATTTCATCCAGTTGGTTGCAGTAGACATCTGCTGTCGTTGACTGACCAGGTTTCATGAAGCTGTAGTAGATGATACCAATGCTGGACCACTAGACACCATTAGTTTTTTTTGGATGAATATTTGGTTTGGACTGTGTTTCAGCACTTCATTTTTAGCCAGCCATTGTGCCAAACACTTGAGATTGTCAAAAGGAATCCATTTTTCATCATACGTCACAATATGGTGTAGAAATGGTTTGCCTTTATGTCATGACAGTAGAGAAAGGCAAGCTTCGAGACGATTTCTCTTCTGACACTCATTTAATTCATGTGGTACCCACCTGTACAGCTTCTTTACCTTGCCAATTTGTTTCAAATGGTCCAATATTGTTGGAATAGTAACATCCAACCTTGCTGCTAATTCACATGTAGGTTGAGATGGATAATCTTCCACTACAGCTTTCAGCTCATCATTATCCACTTTGGTCTCTGATTGCCCATGTGGCTCATTTTCAAGATTAAAATTACCAGAACAGAACTTCTCAAACCATGGATGTACTGTGCGTTCATTAGCCACATCTTTCCGAAACACTTCCTTGATATTTCAAGCTGTCTGCACAGCATTGGTTCTGCGAGGGAACTCATATTTGAAAATAACACGAATTTTTTGACTTATCTATGGTTTCACAAAAATTGCTCTGAAAAATATTTGAAAGATAATCACAAGCTAAACTGTACATTTCAAAGAAGGAGCATGTACCTTCACAATAAAAATAAAACAAGAGGTGTCAAAGTGAAATGTCAGAGATGACAACTGTCAAACTTAATACTTAAGGAAATCAAACATTTCATATTTAATAACCTAATAATTTGTTAACTCTCCACTATGAGCTCTTCTTTT